CCCCAGTGACTGTTCATGTAAGACATGTAAGAAAAATTTATATAAGCGATCTTAATAAGGATAATAGAAGGCATAAGAATAATATTTAGAAATTTCATCTGTCTGTCTATCTGTTTGTCTGTATGTATGTACGCAAAAACTGCTAAACCAAATTGGATACAGTTTCCACTATTGTGTTCTTGAGAATCTAATATAAAATACATACATTCTAATATAAGTACATGTATTATAGTGAAACGTTATCCAGAAGTGGTTTATTTATTAATGTTCCGACTTCTGGAATCTACCAGAGGAAGACTGTACAAGAGTCCTTTGCTTGTGTCCCTCTGTCCATGTTTTGGTTTAAAGGGTGGAATATGGCAGTGAATTTACAGGGTACAGAGGCATAACATTTTAGTCTTCAGGAATGGCAACGCGTGGGTATCATGGGCGATACAGTGTACTTTGTTACGTCCATGGTAATGTTCATGACTATAGGAGACGACACACGGAGAGACATTACCACTTTCCCTCAGATGGGCTGTCAGTTTATCTGCCATTCTAAGTGACTTAAAAAACTTACACGTACGAAGTAGCGGGCAAAAACCTAGTTTATTGTAGTTCAATATCACTTTGGCTGATTCTAAATGGAACTTGTCGAAAAACCAATTTAATCTCGAATATTGATATTACATTTATAATAAATATTGGTACATTAATCCGCAATTATGAATAATGCATGATTAAAAATTAATAATGACCTGTTCATATTTGAAATGTATTTTACACGAGATTTCATATAAAATAAATCAATCATAATTATTAATCATAATATACTTAATATAGTGATTTTATATGCGTGTGCATGTGCGTGTGCGTGTGCGTGTGCGTGTGCGTGTGCGCGTGCGCGTGCGTGTACGTGTGCGTGTGCGCGCGCGCGCGCGTGTGTGTGTGTGTGTGTGTATAATAATGAGTAGGGATATATATTTGCATTATTACTTGTATCACATCTCCATATTTGGAAATAGTAGAGTTTTCATCGTGCCTCCGATCAAATTGTTTATAATTGCTCCTCTACATCCAAAGGCCGCCTGGAAGATATCGCTTTTAGCGATAAGGTCGCCCATTGTTTTCTCATTGTGATTATTTCTTGTAATTATTTATATCTATAATAACTTTACTATTACAATCTTTTGGAGGAAGCAATAAAGAGTATAGATCTATTTTAAAACTGATATATTGCTAGCGAATATGCTAGTAATAAAAACTCGTAATGTGCAGTGTAATACCAGCCTTAAAAAGTTCTTATTTCCTGCCATAGGTGTATAGTATATAAAAATATGGAGCGCCTTAGGAGAAGAAATACCTTTTGCAAATACGCTCCCTCTGTGCATATTATTTGAAAGGGCAAAACTTTATATTCGAATACCGGTGAAGTTATAGAATCGGATAAAAATATTTTACTCAGATTATTGGAATATTGAAAGAGGATGGAAAAAGGTTTACTTCAAAGTGTTTTATACTGTACAAATTTAGGAGAATCTCAATTATTATTACACTAGCTTTTAGCCGCGGCTTTATTCGCTTAAATATGGTACCTAATGCGAATTTTTTTATGGCGTTAAAAGGTAACAAACGAATACACTTTCACATTCTAAATACTAGCCATATTTATTTATTTATTTAAACTTTAGTGCGCAGTAAAATTCTACGTACATTTGGCGGACTTAACACCGGACGGTTTTCTCTACCAATCAACCATTGGGCAAACCGAGAAATACGTAGGCGGTGCATTATTGAATAGAGGAAAAAAAAAGCAATACTTGATATATTCATATAATATAAACATATAATTAGGCTAATATATTAAATAAATAAATCTATACATAAATAAATACATAAAATATTACTATATAGTATGTATGTAACAATTAAATAAAACAACTGTAATAGAAGAGCAAATAGCAATCTAAGACTCAAACGGAGTAAACAGCAGGAAAATGGAAAGTGATTTTTTTAAGAAATAGGTGTGCAATTTGTGTGATAATAATATCGTGATTAAAATATCGTATGTTAGTATATAACATATCTATCCACCAAACATTCAAAACCGTTCAGTACTTTTTGTGTAAACGAATAACAAACATGTTCATAAAATTTCATATTTCCAATACTCACGAAGGACTTTTGATGTAGATCACTGGACAACGGTGTTATCTATGTACTGAAATAAGCGATAGTTTTTAAATTATCCAAATATCTTTTAAAATATTTGAAGATTCCATTTTTTTTATAGGTGATAATGGAATGGTAACCCCACCCGCGCTATCGGTATACACCGGTAGGCACCAGTGAAGGATGATAGACGAGGATGAAACAGGTCAGTTAGCCCATCGTGACGAATGAGACGAGAATTGTTCACGATGGTTTCCAGGGGGAACCACATGTAGATTGACCTGATAGGGCATATTGCTAGCAATGGGGCTGTCAAACTCCATTGCTAAGAATCCCTTTTCCCCCTGGGATTCCATATTGGCACCCATGTATTGTAATTAAATACTATTAAACTACAGTTATAGAACTAGTATTATATTGATTTGCCGTATGGTCCCAGTATAGAACGGACCACCCCTTCCTTTTAAAACATGCAGCATACAAACTGCAGTTGCCAACCCGCCTGCCAAGCGTGGCAACTACTAGTAAAATTTTCATCCTTACCTATAATCCTTCATTGGTGCCCCGCCAGTGTATACCGTTAGCACAGGCGCGGTTACCATTTCATTTTCATCCATTAAAAAAAAACTACTGGTAAAACCCCCTCTTTTGGGGACCGGGGAGCTATGTCCAGCAGTGCATGATTAATGTAAATGACTTTATAAATAATATTATCAGAAATCTACAGTTGTATGTTTTTAGTTCACTTTTCTATGTTTTTTTTTTATTTTTCGCCATTTACGTGACTCGGCTCTCACTGAACCGATAAATTCGGTTTTATCGTACAAACAGACCGTCGTAAAATTGATTATGCTAATCTTTTCGATCTTATATATGCTTTTAATATTGAAAAAACCCCCTGCACTACTGTTTTGAGGTTAAATTTATGGTTTTTTTTTAATACCAATAAGTAGAATTGCCAGTGACAAAATATCTACGTATTATGTCAAAATATCTCGCGCTCGCATCACAGCCGCTTAAGCCGCCCAAATGGTCTTGACACTAGTCGAGGTTTCCCGACAAAATTACATTTCAGTTAAACCCGTAGTAATTACATTAAGACTTATTGGGATATTACCTTTTTGTATCAATATGGTACATTTTGACATATTATTTTATGTATAAACATTTTGTGTATATCACGCTTATGTTAAACACTTATTTTATTACCGTATTCACTATTTTTGTGTTATGTTTTATGCAACTTAGAATGGCAAACAAGCTAACGACTCGCCTGTTGGAAAGTGGTAATCGTCGCCTATAGACATGAGCAGTACTATGGACATAACAGAGCATACTGTTTTGCCTATGATACCCCCCCCCCCCCTTCGTTGCCATTCCTGAAGACTCAGGTATTATTCCTCTGTATTCTGTAAATTCACTGCCATATCCCCGTCTTCAAACCGAAACACAGTCATACAAACACAACTGTTTTACAGTAGAAATATGAATGGGACAAAGGTGCCCAAGCAAACGACTTTCGTACAAAGTCTCTCTGTTTGTATTTGCTAATGCTAATAGAGAGTTTATCTATCTATTGATATGTATATAAATTTAGATATCTATCCTTAATCTCTTCCAGTTGTAACGCTTGGATAACTCCACAAATAGTTATTATGCAAAGTACGTAAGGCTGTCTTTGAAGTCGTGTCGTTTGCCAACATCCCGCAATTATTAAAAAAAAATATGCTATTTTCATTTTTTGAATTTAGAAATCGAAAACAAAAGAATGTTTTATTGGTCGAATAGTTTTATTGTATCGTCTATTCAAAGGTGACAAGTCGATCGTAAAAGCGGAAATACTCGTATCCTTAGGCCTCTCTGACATTTATTATCTTCGCCTTAGGTAAATATTATATCACTTTACGAAACTGAGGTACATACATATTTTGTAAACGTCCCGCAGTATTGGTCCTTCGGGCAGTATTTGGGAATTTTTGACATTATTAAAATTGCATGGTGACTAAGTTTCTATGTGAGGGGTAAAAAGAAATGTCAGATGGCAAATAAAATTTATCATTATACCGGTATTTGTACGGCTTCACCATGAACCATGATAAAACCGGTCTAATTTACATATATATTAATATCAAATAATTTCTTACTTGAAGGAAAATAATTTAAGGACAAGTAGGTTTTGTAACACAATAAAAAAAAAGACACCGATTTCAAGCATGGTAAACCTGTAATTTTGATTTAAAAATCAAATTTGATACAATTATTATGGGAGTTAATTTAAAAGTATGTCCTGTTAGGTGAACAATCATTTTCCAAATCGGTCTATCGAGTTCTGAGATAACAAATATAAAAATATGCGACCAAATTGAGACATTTCTCCTTATTTAAAATCGAGTTATAAAAGTTTTTACTTTTTCGAATGTCGGTATATTAAATATGGAGATACCTCTGATATATCTAAACATAATTATATACATATAAATATATCCTTAATAGTTTTTTTATGTAATTTACAACGGCAAACAAGCAGACGTCCCACCTGATAGAAAGTTGTAACCGTCGCCTATAGACATGAGCAGTACTATGGACATAACAGAGAATACTGTCTCGCCCATGATACCATCCCATGCTTTACCATTTCTGAGAACTCCAGAATTTATTATTTGAATTCTTACTAATAATATAAATATGAAAGTGATTTTGTTCATTTGTTACCCCCTTGGTACCGCAAACTACTATAGTATATAGCAAATATAAAAAAATTTACTTGTAAATAATTATGAACAGTGTATATGCACGTATAATACAAATAAATAAAAAAAAAATATAAAAAATACACTTTTAAAAAGTTATAAATTGCAAAACACATGATTTCATCTCATTTTATTTCGTGAATATTTATTTTGTCTGATGATCTAGGTCTTGTACTTAAGCACCAAGCACTACGTAACTGTTGGCCACACTGATAAAATATACCCACACTGAAACAAGAAAGGTCAATAAACAAGTTATTTTTATTTCCTTCTTCTATTTATTTTCTACTTCTAAATTAACAATTTGATTTCCCTTTTTTTTATGCAACTTAGAATGGCAAACAAGCTGACGGCTCACCTGATGGAAAGTGGTAACCGTCGCCTATAGACATGAGCGGTACCGTGGACATAACAGAGTATACTGTTAGCGTTGCCATTTCTGAGGACTCAGGTGTTATTCCTCTGTAACCTGTAAATTCACTGCCATATGCCACCCTTCAAACCGAAACATAGCCATGCAAACACAACTGTTTCACGGTAGAAACACGAATAGGACAGAGGTACCCAAAGCAAATGACTTTTGTACAAAATTTCTCTCTGATTAATATAATCTTATTTAAAAACACATATATTGCATATAAACGTCAAAACTCTCATTAACCTATTTTAGCTATTAAAGTATTTTGTCCTTCTCTTTTACGCTAGATTTTATATTTGGAAGACAGTGAGAAAATACTTTAATACTTAAAATAGGTTTATAGAGCGTTTTAGTTTGGGGTACTATTATAAAGAGAAAAGATTTGAATTTCTGCTTGTAGTAGACTCTTCTTTTCATTTAAGAGATTTCTCTTGTTAGTACAACAAATTTATGCCTTTTTCTTCCAGCCAGCTTTATTCCAAGCCATATATTTGACCTCTCTATACGACATGACAGCTAGTGTTTCCTTTATCTGTCCCATTTAGTTATTCCTCGGTCTTCCCCTTCCTCTTTTGGCCTCTATTTTTCCTTCTACTATTTAAAATATCATTATGTCATATAAGGTGACCCGCCATTTTGCTTTTTTTATTGTATTATTTGTAAGAGATAAATAAAAAAAAGTACTTAGCCGATTCTAATAAATCTTTCACCTATAGAAAGCTATACTATTAGTTTTATAAAATAGATATTTACTATCTGTCTATCTGTACGAAGTTGGGGCGCTAGTCTGCTAGAATATACATATGTATGAATGACAGTTTGTCTACATATATATATATATATATATATATATATATATATATATATATATATATATATATATATATATATATATATATATATATATATATATATATATATATATATGCTTATAATCCACCGCGACTACGCCTGCAATATTCTAGATTTCACCAGACAGCTTGCAGACTGCATTAAGAAAATTAGATTTATCCAGTGATGCGTCTCGTTAAGTTATTACTCTGTACCCATTGGGTCTCGATTTCCAAACAGATTTCACAGACGAATGCCTCTGAATTCGGGCCTGAATCAACATTTATAGTGATAAGTTAGAATGTGGTAGCTGGCTTTTAATAAAAACAGATATTTCAAGTTGAGTACACACGATGTTAAATGGATATGAATATGTTATTTTAAGTAATTACGTTATCATACATCTAATAGTATTGTCGTGTAGTCCTGGCATAGAATAGGCTAATCCTATTCATCCTGTGGGTGTCGTAAGAGGTGAATAAGGAAACTTAGGAATTAGGAAAATAATTTTTTTTTTTTTTTTTTATAGAACTTAGAATGGCAAACAAGCTGACGGCCCACCTGATGGAAAGTGGTAACCGTCGCCTATAGACATGAGCAGTACCATGGACATAACAGAGTATACTGTTTCGCCCATGATACCCCCATGCGTTGCCATTCCTGAGGACTCAGGTGTTATTCCTCTGTACCCAGTAAATTCACGCCATATCCCACCCTTCAAACCGAAACACAGCCATGCAAACACAACTGCTTCACGGTTGAAACACGAATGGGACAGAGGTACCCAAGCAATCGACTTTTGTACAAAGTCTCCCTCTGGTAATATAATATAATAATGGTCGAGAGTTGGGCAGTAGCGTTCCTCCTAGAACATTACCAAAAACTAGCTGCAGTTGCCAATCCGCTAGTCAAGCGTGGCAACAACTGGCAAAACTTCCCTTTTGGGGGAGACTTACATATGTTTAACAGTGGACATTAGATGGCTAATATGATGGTATGATGTCGCCTAACAGTAATGTGCCTACACAGCTTTTTTTGTAATGAAGTATTTTTTATTAGAGAAAAAATCGAATCTTGATTCGAGTTTTGGGGCTTGAGTAAGTTCTCGAGTACTTGTACGGATATTCGAGTATTTTATTATAGGTACTTGAGTACTCTTTCAATTGACTTTCAAGTTTGCTTTTATGATAGTAATATAGATGTTCAAAAATCTATGAATTTTTCTTTTGCTAATTGAGGAAATTATTAATAAATTCTAAAACATAAATAATAAAGCTTATTGATGAATAATCGCCTAAAAAATTGCTGTTCACATAAACCCGGAATGTGTAGCTGTGGCCTCTCAATATTTAAAAATCCTCGGAACAGTGTGGTCGCTCCGTAAGGCCTAAAGAGTATTCGGCCTTACGGAGACTGGTTCTGGAGCTGGGCTGGCTTTACTAGCCTCGACTGATACACCCAATGGCCCAAATGAAAGGCTTAGCGCAGAAAAGAGAATTCAATTTACATTTACATTATTGATTAATAACTACCATGAGTGAATGAGTTTATGTCAGCTTTACTTACAACTATATAGTCCTGTAAAATTGCCCCAACCGAAACTATGTTAGTTAGCTAAAATAGCACGCGTACAGTGACAAACAGCACGCTGGTCGCGCAGTGCTGTTCAAAATTAGTCAGGTATCCCCGAATTCAAAACTAAGTAAAGTAAACATAAACAATTAATAGTATGATAAAAACTCGAAAAGTATTCGAGTTTTGTAAGCACTCAAAACTCGTTTACGAATACCGAGTTCTGTATATTGAGAGAATTTGATTATCTCTTTTTTCGATCGCGGTAAATACGAGTGTTCAATATGCGATCAAGTATTAGACATTAGATATATAAACTCGAGATCATTGCGGGAGAACTTGCAATGAAATGCAGCTGCACGCCTGTCGAAGTTGGAGCATAACTTACAAAGTTTGGTTACAAAAAGTGTTGTTTGTGTTACGACTGGAAACGTATTGAACAAATAAAAGGGACGAATGTTGATAAGCTCTTTAGAGTATTACTTTATTATTATCATAATAATGTGTTAGAATGTATTTTATATGTATTAATTGTTACAAAGTCGTGTAGTTCCAATATAGAATGTGCTACCCTTTCGTTTCTCGTAAGCATGGTAAAAAGGGACGAAGGGAACATAAAAGTCGAGGGGTGGGCAGTAGTGCCCCTCCTAAAATATCACAGGGTACAGAGGCATATAACACCTGAGTCCTCAGGAATGGCAACGCATGGGAGGTATTATGGGCGAAACAGTATACATTGTTATGCCCATGTCTATAGGAGACGGTTACCACTTTTGTTTCATATTCGACTCGTATATTTTTGGAAAAAAAAATCCCGCAACTTGGAATGGCAAACAAGCTGATGGCCCACCTGATGAGTTGTACAAATCTGCCTTCAAACACAGTCATGCAAACACAACTGATTTACAGTAGAAACACGAATGGGACAAAGGCGCCCAAGCAAACGACTTTTGTACAAAGTCTCCCTCTGGTGGTAGAACACTCTCTTAAAATGATGCTAATAATTTCGATTACATCCTGTATTTAAAAGCAGGATTTTTTAGTAACAAAATTATAATGAGATCGACATGGGAGTAAACCCTATCGGTTACAATAGAATTTATCAAAGTTGCTCCAGAATTTGAATAGATATCATATAACATACGTATAAAAAAATAATTGAATTAAGGATATTTTTTTTGGAGTTATTTAAAGATAACACACGAATTGAGACGTAAAGGAATAAGAAAAATAATTTAGGGAATTAATGGCACACGGTGAAGATGGAAATAACTAACATACGTATTAGATTAACAATATGCTATAATACAAATTAGAAAATATTGGACTGATATTGGTGATCATGCATGGTGACAAAACACCTTCACTAAAGAATATTTTTTAATTATACTTGGTAAAATCATTAGCAATATTCCAATTGGTAAATAAAAAATTAATAAATCACGAAGCTGCCAGCCAAATTATTATTGTTTTCTTATAAGGAGAGACCAGTAGATTTCTAGTATCTAGTCCAGTATGTAGTCTAATATATAGTCCAGTCCAGTAACTGGCCCAGTATCCAAACCAGTAATCAGTCTTATATCTAGTCTAGTCACTAGTCCAGTATCTATATATCAATCCAGTATTGAGTTTAGTATTCGTTTTATTATCCTTACCAGCTTAGTGACAGCAATGGCCAGTCAGTACTTATGATATAAGAAACAAGTAAAGCCTGGTATCAAATCATATACGCTTTATAGTACCACGTAATTTCAATATTAGAACTGCTAAAATAGTTAACACATTTTCAACATACGCTTGTCGTACTAACTTAGGATCCAATTCTCCCCTCAACAGAATGTATAATAAAGCTGTAAACGTTGACCATGATATCGACACCTTTGGTAATTCTTTAGTGCAGTTTACTAGGCTTATTAATAATATGGATTGGTAATTAGGTCTTCTCTAATTGTATAATTGTTAGTTAGTGTACATTGACGCTTATCTGTGAGAGCTGTATACACCTTTAATTGATGTGTTCATATGGCCTTAAGCTTGGTAGTGAGGAGTGAGATATTTTTGTTCAGGTAAACTTAGATTTAAGCATTTCTTAATATTAGTTTTTCACTTTTACTTACTTATAACATTGCACATTGTATGCTTAATTGTTGTGAGCATATTGTTGGTGTGACTTTTATAAATAAATAAATAATTATCCATATCCTATCCTACACTGATTTTATTATTATTATTATTATATCTATCTATATTTACGCTATGTCTCAAGTGGTTTTTTTTCTAAAGGGTGAATAATGGAATGGTAGCCCTGCCTGCGCTAACGGTATACACTGGCGGGACAATAGGTGAGTGTTATAATGATAGATAGTGTTATTTTATTAATACTTTTATTGTAGCAGAATACAAGACG